CTAACTCTTCCATAGTTGGCTTGAATCGAATGGGGATAAAATGTGCCACTTTATTCATTCGATCCACAATTACCCAGATGGCATCTTTTCCTTCCCGGGTAGAAGGAAATCCGGTCACAAAATCCATCGTGATCCTCTCAAATTTCCACTATGGAATTTCCAAATGTGTTTTAATCGTGTTATACATCTTTGTGACCCCCGGCCACCTCTCGCTTCATTCCCGGCCACCTCTAGCTGCTGCAATGCCTACGTCATCAAGTCTTAAATGAAGCGGCGCTAATATATCACAAGCTATTCTGCAGTGCAACTGGTTAAGTTGCTAACTCCTTACTTAGCAAGTAGAAGGTCACTTTTTGAATTCCAGCAACATGCCAATTTATTTTTGCTTCGGTTTTAGTGGTTTGTGAGTTTCCGAGTGGTTTCACGAATCCTATCTCGTATAGGATAATAACTAGATTTTTTTTTCCAGCATCGAATCGTACTATAGGCTTCCGCTACTTGGAAAAATAAATTTATCCGAGGTTCGGGATGTTACAACCTGAAACATGTATAAGCAGGTATGCTTGTTGGCATAAAGGAACTCAAGAAAATGAGAGCAAATTTATGAACTGGGGAACCACGGCCATAAAAACTCTGCTAGTGTAAAATGATTGATTCTCAAACAAAATATATAGCATTTCCATAACACAATAACACGGGGGCAGCAAACAACACCAGTCTTGATTGAACAAAAACGAAATAACCAAGCATCTAAGAAATATGATACACCAACCCAAGTTCAGATTGTCAAATCATTCGAAAAAGGAATCAGACAAAATATTGCAACAAGAAAAGAAAACAAAACTGCATATGGATTTGCCAGTAGTAGAGCCATGATTTATGCAAGCACAAAGAGTCAGGCAGTAAAGAACAGGGACTAGCCGATTAGCAAAAAAACTTGTGAATGGCGGGAAATCATATATCTTACTTGGCATATGTGCTTACTCTCAAGAAACAAGCATCAAGCCTATGCAATGTTAACACAATAAACAAAAATCACAGCAGATACCCCCGTCACAACAAAAACTTCCAATATTGAACAATAATCTCACGTCACAGCTTAAATAGAACTTCATGTTCTTGAAGAGTTCCTTACACTTCTTGGTATCCTCACCGTCATCATGTTCATGTTCATCTTCAATAAGTTCCGTCAATGCCCTGGCTTAATTTGAAGGAAGTTGATGTTGGAGTTGGGAAAGCCTTAACTCAGACTCTTCAAACTGTGCCCCTTCTTGTTGGCCACCCGTTTGGTTTGGTTTAGTGGAACCAGACTCTTTATGGTCTTCAATAGTATGCTTAGAATTACCATTCATATATCTTGAGAGAGCATAAAGATCTGTAGAAGAAAGAAGAATGTGAAAGTGTTTGCGAAACTAAGCAAAGTAGACAAATTGAACACCATAAAAATACTTGCGCACCCTAAAAATAAGCATTATATTTAAACTAGCGTATATCCTGGCCCTTTGGCCGGAATACTCATATTTGATTATTTGTATTTTTATGTTACTTTTAAGTCTATTAACCCGTTTAATCTTATTGATAATCATTCGATCGAGATGATACATAAAGAAATAATATTTAGGTCAAAGATTCGGAAAAATATCATAATCATTTAAGAATATAAAATATAAAAATGTATAATTGACCCCATTTTCATAATGGTAATTAAGTCCCTGTTAAAATGCTATTGGTTAGTTTTCTTTGACAGTCAAGAAATATAGAGTATAAAAGCTCACTGAAATTCTCACACAACCCATAGATAGTTTGAAACTAAATCTTAAACCTCACAATCCTATATAAAGGGTTCAATGCTCTCCTTTTAGAAACAATATGTCACTAATCAAAAAGAAATGGAGAGTTGTTGATTCAAGTCATCTATATACTAAAAACTCAGCTAAGAGGGGACCATCACAACTTGAGAGCAAACGAAAAAATCAGGGTTATCTCCAATATACGAATAGACTCGATCAAAGTAATAAGGCGCAAAATTAGACACTCCTTATCTATTAGTTCCAGTAGGTTGAATAAAGAAGCGACCTATTTCAAACAATCAATCAATGATTCCTCGTTTTAAGATAGAAATAGGTTATGACAGTTGCAAACCATAAACCTAAAGATCCAATAGCCACCACTCTCCGTTGTACAACCAAATTTCTATCTCAAGAGGCATATATTCAACCAAAAATTCAATTTCTAATCTTCCTTCTACAACTTCAGTTATTGATGAACTCCATTCTATTCGCCATGAATTGATATCGGAGTTGAAATCTTCTACTCGCCCAGCTTAAAATCCCCAACAATAAAACCGTAGTGCCAAGAGATACCTGAATATTGATTTTCAATGACAGTCTTGTACTGGGAAGTGAAAGGCGCAAACTATTGCACGATGGATGAAATTTCGGAGGAAGTTAGAAAGAGAAAAGAACAAAGATAAAAAAACACAAAATTTAAATTTAAATTGAAAAATGCAAGGATACAACAGTAGTTACATAATTAGTTTCTTCCATGTTGGCCAATTACCCATTTACCTTTAGCAAAAATTAAGGAGAGAGCGGGAATTTAAAATTGAGAAAATTACATGAAACTCTACTATGAAAATAGAAGTATCAAGCTCGATAAAAATAAATACGGTAGACTTAGTGAGCTTGCTAATTATGATGAAAAAGTCCTCTGATTTTCAGAGATTAACTTTGTCTATTTTTTTTTATAAAAAAGGATGCAATAAATTTGTTTAGTGTAACTGGTTGTGATTGTTATCTTTGTTTGAAGAGACCCGGGTTCAAATCTTGGTATTGCTATTTTTATATGAAATAAATAATAAATGTGTAAAGACAAAAATGACCTTCCTACTTTCACTCTAGTTGCAGGAAATTTGAAATGGAGAAAAGTACACAAAACTCTACCATATATTAATTGAGGATTCAATAAAGGTAAGAGAACAGACCTGCTACAGCTGATTCGGGCGCAAATGTACACTTTTTAGTTTTTACCCCTCATTTCTTATTCGTTTAGTTTAGTATTTCATCGTCCCTCGATATATTTCACGCCTAGATTGTGCTTGTTTGGATACATTTCAGGTCCTAGCATGCTTGGAAGGGTCGAGGTCGAATTTTGGGATAATTGGAGGTTAAAAAGTGCAAAACCCGAAGAAAAGTCCGAAGTCCGTAATAGTGAAGTGCAGGCGTCCAGGAAGCACCCGCAGTTCACGATCAAACAAGGGAGTTCACGATCTCCTAAGACTGTGAGCTAGAGCCAGAAACGATGAACATCGAGCAATCCAGCGAGGTTTTAGAGGTTACTACGCCATGGGAGTTCACGGTCGCTAAGACCGTGAACTGGGGCCATTAACCGTGAACTCAGGAGAGTGAAACGGTGCGTTTTGGAGACAACTGATTTCACGGACGTATTTAGGTGTTCACGGCCATGAACTGCCCAACACGTTCGTGAATTGCTCACTTTCGGGCAAATATGAAGACAACAGCGGGGAGAGAGAAAATGGAGCTGGTTTTTGGAGAGAAATTCAATTCCCTCTGTAGGGTTTGCCCAAAAACACCAAAGGGGAGCTCTAGTGAGAGAGATAGAGAGAGAGAGAGAGAGAGAGAGAGAGAGATAGAGAGAGAGAGAGAGAGAGAGAGAGAGAGGGAGAGAGAGAGAGAGTGCTAGAGTGATCTTGGAACATCATTGGAGGCTTGTGTGGATCTTGAAGACAAGGATTTCAGCCTAGAAGAAGAAGAAGAAGATATTGAGCTCAAATTTGTAATGCTCTCTCTCTAGAAACTCACACTTTTCTCTTGGGTATTGTAGATCCCTACTAATACTTTGTAATTACTTGTTTAGATTGAATGATTTCATATGGGTTGCATCATTTTGAGTATTAGAGGTGTTTTCATGGTGATTGTGCTTAGTTGTGCTTTCCAAATCTTGTGTTCTTGCCTAACCTAGATTATAGGAAAACCACACCTTTTTAGGTAGGCTTGACAAGTTTGGTTTTCCTGGGCACTTTGTGCCTACTGTCTAGGTTAGAGATGAGCATCCCCCTTGATTCGAGTTTGCATCTAGGTTGGTCGTGATTAAGCCGCTCAAACTCTAGTATGAGAGAGAGACCTAGGCAACTCCTAGAGACTGAGTGAGAGGATTGATCTCGAGACAATCGATATCTAGTGAATCCATCCCGTGACAAGTGGATCACTAGTTGCTCCTCCTAGCGGTTCCCCTAGACTTGGTGAGTGGATCGATCCCGGGACAAATCGATCGCTAGTGAATTGATTCCGTGACAAATCGACCACTAGTTGCTCACCCCCGCGGTTCACAACCACCTATGCCACACGACTCCATTCAATCCAACGAGTCATGGTAGCTAGTTAGGGGGAAACAACTCCTGGGTGAAGCTCCCTTAGTTAGATTTTTTCTTTATTTACTTTTCTTTGCTTGTTTAGTTTGTAGTTTTCTTAGGTTGAAAACCCAAAACCGTTTTGCTAGATAACAACTTAAGTGATTGAAGTAGGGGTACATGGATCGGTGCTCGTTGATAATTAAAACTTACTTGCCCTATGCTGCACCCCTCCAGAGTTTAAAAACTTTGGCTCTAGAGGGGATTTCTAGTGTGGTGTTTTGTGCGAGTCAAGTTTTTGGCGCCGTTGCTGGGGTAGCGCGGTCCATTATTTTGAAAATGTCGCTTAGTGTTGCTTTAGCATTTTCTATCTTGCCTTTTTGTCCGTGTTTTATGTTTCGTGTTGTGTTTTGTTTACCCACTCTTCGTCTCGAAGGGTGGTTTGTGTTTGTTTGATTTTGTTTGTGTCGGTTATGAATCATGGATTCTAATGGCTTGTACAATAGGTGGGGGTATCCACAACCACCCGAATGGGGGTACCTCGGAGCTTCATGGAGTGAACAAGAAGGGAGAAGCCAAGGATCCGGGTTCTATTACCACCCCCCCGCCCCTCCAAGAAGAACAACCATACCATTTGGGGTATGAAGAAGCTTCCCCATACCAAGAAGATTTCCTTCCACAACCCCAGGAGAAATCCAAGTTGGAGTTGGCCATGGAGGACTTCATGGGACAATCATCAAACCATGTGCCATTCCACAACCGGAGCCAAAGAGAAACCGAGAGCACATGGTGGAGAAATTTTCCCTGGGTACTAATGAGGGATGCTCCAATTTGGATCTTCCCATCACCGGCCCTATCGACTCAACCTTTCTTCGGGAATCGGAACAGCTCCATCGACGCACGAAGAGGCTAGGAGGGCTTGTAGAGCAAGCATGTGCACAACTTGCTCACAATCACCTCCTAACATTGGAAGAAAGAGAGGAAATCGAAGAGGCGAGCCATGAGAATTTTGAAAGAACGAGCTCCGACATGGATTTCCAACCCCTCCCTCCTCCCGGTTTGAAACTAGAAGATAAAGTGGCACGAGCTTGTGAAAGCTACCGCCTCTCGTTATTGGAGGAGAAAGAGGAGGTGGAAGGGGCACTCAATGACAACCATGTGGAGCTAGAGGAACTCACCCCAGAGAGCTCTCATAGTGAGGACGAACAAGAAGGTTGCATTGACGACTCCCATCATCTTGCCCTTCTTGAAAGCAACTTTGAAGACCAAGTCACGAGTGCGGAGGAGCAAGACAATCCCTTCTATGAGCTTTCATGGCATCTTGCCCTCCAAACCGTGCTTGAAGACATGAATGGGAAGGAGGAAGAAGTGGTTGAAGAGGAGGAAGTGAGCATTGAAGAGGAGGAAGATCTTCGGTGTTCCCATTTGGATGAAATAAATATTGAAGAAGGAAGGGAGGTTGAAGTTGAAGAATAAGGAGAAAGCGGTGTCCGAGCAATGGACGAGGTCGAGGTGGATGAAGCATCCACAAGTTACAAGTGCTATGAAAGATTTCCGCCCGACCTTGACGCGCTTTTGGAGAATGACCGTTTCTGGCTCTTTTCCAAGCCAAGGCCAAGCCATCAGCGATCCCCCTTGGTGGGAGGCAACCCAACCATCAACGGTGCATCTCTCTTACTTTCAATAAGACGACCAATGGAGAGTTTTTTGTGGTTTTTTGCCGTCTCCTTGCTCTTCCAGATCTCGCCTGACCTCCGATCCCGACCACCAACATTCACATCATATCCGGTAACATCGTTTACTTCCCTATTTTACGCCATTGAGGGCAATGTTGAGCTTAGGTGCATGTGTGTGTGTGGGGGGGGGGGGGGGGGGGTAGTCTATTATGCATGTGTGTGTGAATGTTTGGTATGATTTTGAATGCTTGGAGCCTTGATGTATGCCCAAATTTTTAAAATTTGAGGTCTCCAAGCATAGTAACTTCTACATTTGCATGATCGTAGTGGCACTTGTAATTTGTTTTGAATCTCGTAGGTATTAGCATGATCTATGGATGGTTTGCTTGTGATTATGTGCAACCTATGATGATGACTGAGACATGTATTAGGTTTGTGCATATGTTCATTTCTAATGAGTTTGTGAACCGATAAATGTTTTGAATCGATTACTTGCTTTTCGCAGTTGCCTATGCATCGAGTTTAGGGAATGAGAATGAATGATTGAGCACCTAGGTAGCCATGTGAGACTTGTGTCGTTCGTTTCGTTCTTGTGAGATAGATCCCCCTTTACCTGATGCGTAGCATTAACGTTGTTGCTAGCGAGGAAAATGGAGGCATAGGATTAGCCCACGACCCAAAAGTTGACCGACCTGATTATATTATCCCTTAGTCAACCCTTTTGAGCCGTGTGTATAAGGGTCGTTCTAGTGTTAGGTAGCTCACGCTACTTGAGCTTGATTGATTTAGATAGAGCGACCCTACTTTCTTCGTGTCTACACACCCTTGTGTTTGGAAGCTCCATTCATACCAATTGATCTTAAACAAGGTTCCACATGAGGGATTTGTGTATGGGTTTGCTAAGAGGTGAAGTGAGTGTGGAGGTAGTTTTTCAAAGTGAGTATTGTTCCTTAAGTTAAAAAATGTGGCATATTTTTAGTTCTATATAGCTCTCAAATAAAAGAGTAAAGAAAAGAAGAATAAAAAAGGAAAAAAGAAATCAATGAAAGGGCAAAGGAGAAAAGAGAGTGGCCACCAAAAATATAATAAATGCTGGACATGCTCTTAGAAGTGGTTCTTGGCATGCAAGCTATAGAAACACTTACATGTTGTTGACTTCTACACTCTTGTGCTTGAATCGACTAGCAAATGTAGAAAGGAAGTATGTGTGACATGGCTTAGTGATTGGTTGTAGTTTGGAATTGGAGGAAGTGCGGTTTTTGGCCGATGCTAGTGGCCATTGAGTATAGGAGAGGGTTCTAATTGAAACATTAGAACCTTTTATGGTTTTAGGATAGAGATGTGGAACCTCATGTTATGTTTGCGACCATCCGAAAAGCCTTTTTCCCCATGTCTGAGACCCTAGCCAGTCATTTGAACCCGTGTCTAAGACCTCCAGACAAGCTAGCAACGACACCCATCTTGTGAACTCTAGCATTTGGAGGCTACCGTCATGTTAAAGGAGCGTTAGGATTGAGCGTGAATATGCACAGCTTTTGCATCAAATGGTCCTGACCCCACTGGTCAAGAGTGAGTGATTCATTAATCATTATTTGTTCATTTCTTATACCCCAGCGAGAACCTAGGTTGCTCGATCATTCGTTCCTATGATGTGATCTTCATGCATGAGTAACTATGATTGGTGAGTCGTCGAGGCATGTTGTGTGTGGGTTCGTGAATAATGTAAGAACTCTTCTTTTGCACAATCTTAATACAGTTGAATGTCATTTGTGGTGGTTGCCAAGATTACTTTGTTTTTGCCCATAGGTCGGTGTCAAATGACAATTGTGATTCATTCATTTTGTATCCTATGACACGCCTCAAAAATTTTGTTGAAAAAAAGAAGTTGCAAGCTTACCATGTTTTTTACTTGGTTTGCTTGGGGTCAAGCAAACGTCTAACTATGAGGGAGTGATTCGGGCCCAAATGTACACATTTTACCCCTCATTTCTTATTCGTTTAGCTTAATATTTCATTGTCCCTTGACATATTTCATGGTAGGTTGTGCTTGTTTTGATACATTTTAGGTCCTAGCACATGTGGAAGGGTCGAGGTCGAATTTTGGGATAATTGGAGGTTAAAAAGCGCAAAAACCGAAGAAAAGTACGAAGTCCGAAAAAGTGAAGTGCAGGCATTCAGAAAGCAGCCACAGGTCACGATCAAACAAGGGAGTTCACGGTCTCCTAAGACAGTGAACTCGAACCACAAACCGTGAACATCGAGCAGTCCAACGAGGTGTTTTCATGGTGATTGTGCTTAGTTGTGCTTTCCAAATCTTGTGTGCTTTCCTAATCTAGATTAGAGGAAAACCACACCTTTTTAGGTAGGCTTGACAAGCTTGGTTTTCCTGGGCACTTTGTGCCTACTATCTAGGTTAGAGATGAGCATCCCCCTTGACTCAAGTTTTCATCTAGGTTGGTCGTGATTAAGCCGCACAAACTCTGGTTTTAGGGAGAGACCTAGGCAACCCCTAGAGACTGAGTGAGAGAATCGATCCCGTGACAAATCGATCTCTAGTGAATCCATCCCGTGACAAATGGATCACTAGTTGCTCCTTGACTCGCCTCTACTGTCACACTAGAAAGTGGCCAAGTGTAACCACCTACTAATGCGTAGTATAGCGGGTTTAGATTTAATTGTCAACCTGGGTCCTAGGTGTGATGACTACTCCGTGAAGTTCTTATTATTTAGCGGTTCAACTGTAGTGAAGTTTCAATTAGACTAGCAAGCAAAAGCAGTAAAGTTTGTGATCCAAGTTTGAGAGAGGTCACCCAGATATGGTTCCCTGTAGACTGCAGTTAAGCCAAGTTGTAATTCACCAAGTCCATATTCAATGATAATTATACAACGGAAGGTTCTTAGACAGTCTGAAGTCTCGACTAAAGGTCTCAAGACCCTCTCAATCTGAATCCCCAACGGGCGACTAACCTCCATTGGAGTAAACAAACTGAGGCCCTAACGTACCAAACCTCCTCTACTGAAGTAAATCCTGTACAGAATAGTGAATTGACTCCTCGACTAAAGTCGTCAATTCACTACCTTCAATTAAGGGTGCTCTATCAACCTAGGCAGATATTCTCTTTCTAGGTCAAAGCAAGAGCTACAGGAATATGATCAGGATTCATGCAATCAGAAAACCATGCCTCAATTGAATATAATCGATATCAAAGAACATGTATTCGGGTTCATACAACCAGACCTAACATACAAATCTAGGGTTCTTCATACCGAGGTGAGTGAGAGTTTACTCCATAGAGATAGAGAAGAGAAATCAGGTTCAGATGCAGAAATCATTCTATGAAGGATGATAATCAGCTTTTGGTAATCAATCGACACTTCTCCAAGCTTCCACCGAGCTCCAATGGTGTTGAATCTCAATTTAAGGCGCTTGGAACTTCTGTTCATCGCTCTCTCTAGGTTTCTGCTTTCTTTCTCTAAAAATCGGAACCCTCTCAAAAGAGGCTTTCTTCGCTTGAAAAGGGCAGATCGCGATACCCGGCCTAAATAACTGGTCGGGTATTTCAGGTGACCGGTCGGGTATTTTTGAAACGCAGCGCATAGGGACAGGGGTAAAACCCGATCGAGGTTCACAATACCCGATCAGGTATTTTAGCATTATGACAGGGCCCCCTTATGATCTCCCACCCTCCAAAACAGCAATACCCGGTCGGGTATTTCAGTGCCTGACCGGGTATTTTTGCCTTCCAACTCTAGCTCCAACTTGCTACTTTTTGACCCGAAACTCGCTTCCACGCCTCCACGTCCACGCCAAGTCCTCAAATAGGACATAAACGAACAACCTATCGTAAAATCGGCTTAAAACACAAGCATCGACTCTCAAACGGTTCAAGAATGGTGGTCAAAACATGTGCAAATAATGGTCTATCAATGCCCCCACACTTAACCGTTTGCTTGCTCCCAAGCAAACCTAAATCAAACCAATGCAGCTCTCCAGACCTCTATAGCAACATGCACCCCCGATCGTCAGTAGAGGATTTTCTAGATCATTTAGCGACTTGCGAGGTCAATCGACACACAAGTCATCTCCTAACTTTTTTGGCGAGAACGCTAGTCTAGAGTCGGCGTCATGGCCAATAGTGATCAGAGGACAAATGAATCATGGACGAAGGGACTCTCAAAAATAGAAAGATCATGGACTCACTTTTGTTTAAGGTGCTCTATTTTCTTCTTGAAGATGGTTGGAACCCCTTTTTTTTTTCTTTGTTTTATTGTTGTTTTTTTCTTTCATTTTTTTTCAAGGGCCCAACCTGTTGTTTTCAGAAAATGGGGCTCCCACCTATTAAAGGTTTTGAGGGAGCCTGGCTCTTACCGGCCATGCCAAGAGCGGATGTCCCGATCCTCATGCAGGAAAAACGAAATGTAAAGGGGCTGGAGGTAGGTTGTGAAAATTGGGAACGAATTCCCGTCTCCCCTTACACACTTTCACCGCTTTCCGCACGGGAGACGTTATTTTAAAGCACATTTTAGACCACCTTTTTTTTCAAAACATGATACAGGAGTCCATGACAAGCAGAGAGTCCACAATACCACACAATTCAAGGGTCCTAAGATCACTCATTCAAACAATCAACCAACACAATATGAAGAAGAAAGGAGACTTCTTAAATGCATCGACATCCTCCATAGTGCTACACTACCTCCCTAGGTTGCATATTACTATAAAGACTGTCAATTCAAAGCATATTGAGTAGGCAATTGCAAGGAACACGTGCTTGGAGCCATCAAATCGAAATTTGGACAGTGGACTAGGCTCCAAGCACACAAACAGATCTAAGAAGTCAAATAGAAACACCCCCACTCTTAAGTTCGACATTTCCCTCAATAGAGAAGAGGGAGAGATAAGGGGAACAATGTTACCGGGATGAACAGACTGCAGCGAGACTGGAAAGTGGGCCAGTCGGAGTGACGAGGACTGGAAATGGGACCAGTCGAAGCAAAGGCACGGGCTAGAGCAACAATAATCACTCAAACGCAAATACGTTAGGTAGAGTTGCCAGCCCAATAGTACAACATACAAAAGGAAAACAAAACAAACCAAACACAAAAACCAGTTCGCACTCCGACCCAAGACAAAAGAAAACACAAAAGTGCCAGCGAGTACAGCCTACTCAAGCTGGTCAAAGTTAATCTGCTCCATAAGGTCGTCAAAGTCGTTTGCCGGTGGTGGTGGCGGTGGCGGTGGGGAATGTTCCCACGGAGTGGTCTAGTGGTGCTCCTGCGGTGGATGATAGGACTAGAGCAGGTGCTCCTGGTACTCCATCATCCGATGGTTGCGGGCGCGCTCCCGCTCTATGTGAGCATCGATAACACCCTGCTGAGCCTCGAGACGGTCGAGGCGCTCATCAAATACAGCCATCCGGGTGGCGTACTCAGCCAGGTGGACTGAATACTGCTGCTAAAACTGGCGCTGGTGGTCCATGAGCTGCTGG